CATACGTATGCAGTTAGCATCTCTCTAATGTAACGCATTATATTTTACTAGAAAAAACAAAGACTAATTGCTATTCCATAAAATGAATGGAGAAATTATGTTTTAATTATGTGAAAGCATGGCGATTGGTGATGGAAAAGCACTCTGATTTTAGGGTACACAAGAATGTTCGGAGTATTTTGCTGACGAAACGTACGATGAGGGAATTATTGTGAATGATCGAGGTGATATTTGGAATGAGGTCAGTGCGGTTTTATCGAGTGTTGAGGGGTTCTCTTTAAACGACACGTCTTTTTGACCTTTGAAACAGTAAAATCTGCTCAAAAAGTTTCCTTCTTTAGCGTTTATCTTATCAATGACGTGCTAAGGAGTTCCTTTATTTATTGAGATATACATGGGTTTTGTTGTATGTTTCTTTTTTGCTTTGAAAGTTGTCAATTGGAACGAAAGTTTCCTGATGTCAGTGGTTCACATAAATATGTTTTGCAGATAAACCTGCCGTATTCATGTACGTCGTTTTCGGTCACTTCGCAGTACGTCGTGATATGTCACGCGAAGAAGAAGAAAAAACCACGTTATATGCAACTGCCGAATGTCGATAAAACGCAATGGATACCGATGAAAAATGATGCCGAGATGATACAAACAAATGGTTTGTTGTAAAAATTGTTCACCAACGGTTCCTAATTTCTTCAGTCGAGCAGATAAAAGTAGTGGCTATTTGTGGCTGGCATAAATTAAAATGAAATTATGAATGGCGAAAACAAATGGTGGTTCGTTCAGATGAAGGAACATTGGTGTGGAGGATACATAAAGGAGTAGCGTATTCGCCATTGCCAAACGAAGCGAGCTGTTCACGTCCGTGTTCGTCGGCGTGGGTGATGGCCGCGAACGAGGGTGGTGGTATCGTCGAGTGTGCACTGACCCGTGAGACCGCTTGGTATACAACCAAAAATGGAGAGGTTAGTGAATTTGAGCTTATTTTTGAGAGAAGTATTTTTTTGAAACTCTCTTTTCCGTGCTTTGTTTTGTATTTTGATCGATTTTTGTTTTTGGTAAATCGTTTGTCTGTTTTGAATTGAATTCTGTGCTTGTCATAGAGTGAATTGAGTAAATTCTAATGTTATGGGGTGTCGTCTTTGAGGTATATGTACAATTACGTCTTCCCGAAATGGGCATACTGAGTCGTTGTGAATCGGCCTGGTCGTTGGAGTGCATAACCGCAAGCGAGGTGGNATTTGTGGCTGGCATAAATTAAAATGAAATTATGAATGGCGAAAACAAATGGTGGTTCGTTCAGATGAAGGAACATTGGTGTGGAGGATACATAAAGGAGTAGCGTATTCGCCATTG